GCGAATAGAAAAGAGAAAAAGACGATATGTTTATTATTTCACGTGTACTTGTTTCGATCAGTATTAACTTTCTTATTGATCATTTTCAATATGAAACAAATAAAACGACAACAAAATAATACATTTGATGAAGATAATATCGATAAGAAAAGAAAATTATTCGATAAAAGTAAGATTTTATATTAAGGTTTAATAAATCTTATATTTTATTTTAGTAACAACAATCACTCTCTTTGAAGATTTAGCAAATGAAATTCTTTATGAAATATTTGAATATCTTGATATTTATCATGTTTATCAAGGATTCATTTATCTTAATAAACGATTGCAAAATTTACTTTTTCATTCAACATTTCCAATTAAAATAAATATTTCAACAATGTCAAAATCAAATTTTAACTATTATCATGGAAATATAATTCTTCCAAATCAACATAGAATTAATTCACTTCGTTTATCAAATCCATTTACAGTTGATATTATTTTCTCGCCACCACGTATTCTTTCAAAATTTATTTGCCTTGAAATATTAATTCTTGATAATATTAAAGCTCAATATCTTAATAGAATTTTCAATCATTTAATTCTCTTACCTAAATTACATTCATTAGTTCTTAGTCTAATTGAATATGTTCAATATCCAAGTACACTTTTTTTTCATATTTTGTTTACCAAAATTAAAATATTGTAATTTAACATATCAAACAAAAGATGAAGAACAATTATTACCCATTACTTTTGATAAATATCAACATAGTCCTATAGAACATTTTATAATAAATAGTCGTATTCGATATGATTCATTTCATATTTTATTAATGTGTCTTCCTCAACTTCGTCGTTTATCAATTGATTGTCTTGTTAAATGTGCTTATACAAATCTTGAATTGAATACAAATTTTTTAGAACATTTAAAATATGTTTCACTCAAACTTGATTATGTTGATTTTAATCAACTGGAAAAAATTATAAAAATTTTCTTTCGGTATGTTGAAATTTTATGTCTCACAATAGCATATGATGAATCATATTTAGATACAAAACAATGGGAACAATTAATATTATCATTTATGCCAAACTTACATATATTTGATATAAATCATGATAGTTCTGCAAGAAAGAATCCATTAATATATCATAATTCAATCAATCAATTTACATCATCATTTTGGATTGAAAAACAATGGTTTTTTACACATCAACATGATTATGAAGGAAGATTAGATTGTGGAATTTTTCATTCAACTAATCCATATCGGTAAAAATCGATTGACTAATTTTTGCCTTATGCTTTTTTTTTGTTTTTAGAAGAAAAGATTATATATTTTATTGGGAAATGGTTAACGAACATTGTCCACATGTTCAAGAAATGAATTTAAATTCTGTTAAACATGTTTATATTTGTTGTAAACGAATAGCAAATAATACTTTAAAATATTTTCCAAATGCTACTCAATTGACAATTAAATATTATTTTAATATATCTGCTGATACTCTTAATCTTATTATTCCTTTAAAACAAATCACAATATTAATAATTGACCTTTATACATTCTCTTTCGAACAACTTACTAATCTATTATATTTTTTACCAAATATTCATACATTAAAATCTAATTTTATCAATTACAATGAAAATAATCTACTCAATGATATTTTTGAATATATATCAAAAACAAACAAAATAAAAAATTTAGATATTAAATCATTATGTACATTAGATTTAATCAAATTGATTATGAATTTATTTCCCAAATTAGAATATCTTAAAACTGGAATATATAGAAAAGAATTTAAAGAAATTATACAATACATATTATCAAAAAATAATAATAACACATGTCATTTATGTTTGTTATGTATTACAGAAATACCTAAAATATGTCTGACAGAAATGGATGTTTTAATTGAAGTAGAACATTTACTTAATCAATATTTTATTAAATATATTAATCGTGATTTGTATTTATGGTGGTAGATATTGAGTTGTTTAGAATGTGTCTTATTATTTATATATATACAAAAACCAGATCCATCTAACATATTTTGTTTTCTTAAAGTAGAAAGACAAAAATAAAATATTTCATTGTTCGTTCTTTTTTATTATTTGAAATCTTGTTACTTATTGATAATGAAACGTCTCATTACAGGTTTATGACGTTCATCATAGAATTGTACTGCGTATAAACCTCCAGTTAAATAGCATTTTTTGAATTTATTAGTTATTTTTGATGTAGACTGTAACACTACTAAATTTTTTCTACCTCAAATGACAAATATTGCACTTCAAGGAAGTAAGAATTTACATTTCTCTTTCTTCCTCTACATGGTCGATATTTATGATTCTGTTCCAAAATTAATTATCAACATTATCTTAATAAGTCTGAATGTATTAATCTAGGATTGACCATTGACCATCGATATAGCTCTTAAAACTATCCGAATCTTTGGTGGCTCATCCCCTACGTATTATAATTATAAATCGACGAACCATTAGCCATGATATGTTCGAAGCTTACTTCGGATTTCATTTGATTCATCCAATAGAGTATAAAAAATTGAGAGACAAGAAAAATTGACGACAAAAAAAGGATTCTATCTGTTTGATCTAATTCATTCTTTGTTATGATATTTTACTAACATATGACATAGGAATGTTAGGGAAAGCTATTTTTGTTTTCAATGATTTATGCAATTTGAAAAGTATGAGATAACTTCTACTCATCCCTCAACATATTTTCCAAAGGAGTTCGTCAATGAATACAAATTGCTAATATTCTTATGGATTACCGAGTATCTTTATCAGATCTTTTTCACTATATCTTCATGTTGTTTCATTATCATTTGTTGTGTTCGTTTGACAACTGTCAGTTGTTCACGCACTATACAATTTCTTCTGACATTGTTAATTAAATTATTGATATTCAATTCTTTGATCAGTAGCAAATTAAGATGATATAGATTTAGACTTTTACAGAGACCATTTTCTTCAAGAATCATTTCCATTAAACCAGCATCTTCGATTAAACCAGCAACACATTTGAGAAAATGAGCAAACTGAGTATTCGTGTCACACAATTTATTTAAAACAGATCAGTCCTTTATCGTTTCGCTAAGGATTTGAAGTAGTATTTAAAAGTTCAAAGTTAAGAATATAATTGACTGGAATGTGTCGATGGAAAAGACACGGGTATGTGAGACAATTATACTGATTTTTATGTGGAAGATCGAGCTGAATCAAAAATTTGTCAATGTCAAGAAGATGAAGTATATATGTAATAGGCAACCACAAACTGGATAGCAAAGTACTTTCGGATGCAATTCATCTGACACAAGATTATATTTTGAAGAATATTTTACATTTTTTGTAACATTCGACGAATCATATGAATAATTTCAAATTCAGCATGCTTCATCGTTTGCTATTTATCTTGCGTATCACAAGGAGTGAGTTTTACACGAATATAATCGGGTGGTGGGATGTTCGCCAATTGCCGAAATTCCAGAAGATGTATTGACAAAAGTGAGGTGGGCTATCTCAGTTGTCACGGAACAATATTAATATAATATGCTATTCAATGGATAGATATAACTTGTCCAGATACAACTAAGAAAATGTTATGTCAGAAAAAAAAAATAGATAAACTATCATCAATGATGTCTTTGTAAGACATACTATGGAAAGTATCATGTTGAATATTTTCTTCGAATTAACCCTCAAAAAGTGATTTTTGAACAAATTTTTTCAAGAGACGGTGTCAACATATGATGAATTGTTGATAATTACAACAAATAATCATCATTTGCTTTTGCTTAATACTTCATCTGTCTGTATCACAACTTCAGCTTCATTAGTAAAGTTTCGCTTGTAATATTTTTGAATAGTTGAGATTATAATTTTTCCTGTAAATAAAAACAGAAACAACACGTTGATGTTCAGAATTCACGACATTTATGAGGACTAAAAAAATCTTATTGTAATGGTGTGTATCATGAAAACCTTCGAAAAAAAAACAAAATGAAATACATTAAGGGTGTGGTGTGGGCGTGTCAGTGAATCGGTTATCCACACCACCGACACCCAGACCCCACACCCACCCACACCCACACCCACACCCAGCCACACCCACATCCTCGTTGATTCTTTTGGTATGTTTTGAACAAATGGCATGCTAAGAATTTGACTGTAAGAATTTGGTCGACATTGAACATCTTTTTCCACTATCTTGAGGGTGGATGTGGTGTGTTATGGATATGGGTGTTGATTCTGTATTCTTCTAGACACACATCTACCAACATCTACATCCATACCCACACTCCACACCCGCACTTGCAATCACACCCACACCCACACTCTCTACGAAACATCAAAGACTAATTTGATTTTTATATGGTTCGGAACTATAATTGATTTCTCTATTTAATAAATGGTTTTCATTTGATTAATGTGAAATCTATCGATAAGAAAATAAAAAATTTCTATCGCCCAATAAATACAAGCTTTGCACAAACTAGTAAAAATAATAATTCAAAAAGAGAATTTAAAATATTCAATAAAAGATTTTTCGAAAATTACTAAATTGTTTTGTAAAATTGAGATATGTGCATATATTTGATCGAGTATAAAATGTATGAATACAAAAAATAAATTGTCTAATAATTGATAATTATTTCGACTAATCGACGAGAACATCTGAAACTTTAACAGAAAAAAAATTATTTTACTTGCGCTTCTTGAAACTCATAAAGTTCTTGATGTATGCCAATTAAATCAAATGGAAATATTTAATTAGATAGAGCGATCGATGATATACCAGATACTATACATAAATAAAGAACTTCTGATGTTTTGTGTAAAAATTCAGCAAACCAAAAAAAGAAACTATTAAAACTAAATCAATCATTTTCTACTCATCGCTTGGTCTCTTTGATCAACTTTTTTTTCTTGTTTTTAGTTTCAAGTAAGTAATCGTATTTCTATTTCAGGTCTCATCTAGGTGAGTTCTGATTTCTTTTTTACATTCATCGCATCCCATCCAATACATTGTAGGTACATCCATTTTTGTACCTTAACTAAACTTTTATTTTACCTCCAAAGCTTTAAAAGGGAGTTTCCGCTACGGAGAAATAGTGGGTTATTCATTTATAAAATCTTATCACGTCTTTCGGATTGACCGTAAACACCGGCTATGAATGTTGTCAGATAGTTCAAGGTCGCACGGGTGAATACAATAGAAACGAGAGTGTAAAGTAATCGAATTACATTTATTGAAAAGCAAAGAAAACATAGCATTCGCCTAGTGTTTTAAGCATTTGAGGCAATGTTAAATTTTTGTACTCGATTATTATAGCGATCGACGACATAGAGATTGCCGTATCGATCGAATGACAAACTAAAGGGCCAATTGAGTTGATTCGATTTTCCTCCTTGACCGTTTCCACCAACAATGACACTTCCTTGTGTGGCTTCTTTGGGCCAACGCATGATTCGATCATTTCCTGCATCAACCACATAGACAGTACCTAATTGATCGGCAACAGCTCCTCGAGGATATGAAAATTGTGTATGATTATTGCCTCGTCCTTGACCACCAGCCACAATAATGCCTTGTGTTGCATCTTTCAACCATTTCATCATACGATGATTGTTCCAATCACATACATACACTGAATAATCTCGATCGACGAATACGTATGTTGGCTCATTGAGTTGATCTGTACTATTTCCAGGTCCATTGCCACCTGCAACCACTGTTCCTTTCGATTCTCCTCTTCGATATCGTCTCACTTCATGTTTTTCTTTGTCAACGACATAGAGAGATCCATTTTCGTCCATTGTCAAAACCACACAAGAGATGTTGGAGATGATTGTTTCTCCACTTGTTCCATTTCGACGAGGCCATCGAACGACTCTGTTATTCCAACCATCGCATATGATAAAACTATCTGTCTCTTTGTCGACAATCACATCATATGGAAAAGACAATTGATGATCTCCACTTCCTTGTCCATTTCCACCGGCAACCACTTGACCACTCGTCACACCGCTTTTCCATTCCATAATACGATGATTGTTGGGATCAGCAACATAGATTGTTTGTTCATCATCCACAAACAAACCCCATGGATTGTTGAGTTGATCGGTTCCATCGCCACTTCCTTTTCCTCCAGCTACTGTAATACCATTTTGTTCCCAATAAGCATTTGGATGAATGTCAATGGCACTTCCACGTAATGGATGAACTGGAATATAGGGAGAAACGAGAGGATCATATGATAAAGTAAGAGACAAAAGAGAAAGAGTAATACTATAGAGAGGAAAAAGTGAAAAGTCCATTTGAATTATTGTAAAATCAACATTGTTCCAAGTTCTGATTCGTTTTCGAATTTCTCTTCTTAATGAGTGTTTTCTTTGTTTTTTTTGAACAAGGTGACACTATCAAAAAGTTATTTCGTTTCTCGTTTTGACTTTATTAATACCGGGTGTACCTTAGGTTTTGCAACATTTGGTATTTTTCAAATATTTCAACAGAGATCAATTGTATGATCTTGATTCTTTTTTTAAAAGATGTGCCATAAAAAACTCTACAAAGCTGTAAGAACAAATTCCTATTGAGTATCTTTGATGGTGTCTCTTATACTCAAAATGAATACGTCCAATGATAGTTCAATTTTCCAGAGTATGAAATATTTGAGTGACTATTTTTGTTTCGTAATTGGAACTTGCTCATACAGATTTTTTAGAACTTTCGACGGCGCATCTTTGAAAAAAGATCAAGACACTATCATTTTCTAAAGTGGAGATATTCACAAAGCAAAAAAAAGAAGTTTTCCAAAGTATCTTTGCTATACTAACTACAGTGGTAGTTACATAAGGGTGTCGGTATGGATGTGTGTCTTCCCTCTAGGTCATGGTAGTCATTCTTTCACAAACAACGAATGTTTTTCTAGTTTTTAAAAAAATGTGATTATGAGCATTTCTGTTCATATATATATACATGGAAACATTAAAATTTTACATCCTTTTATCGACTAATAAACAGAACGAGAAAGAACCTAGAAGAATATTAGTACTTCAAAAAAAATTAAAAAGAAAAACTTCATTATATTCATGTAGATTTTAATAAAACTTCTCCTTTAAAGATATATTATCAAATATTAGCAACTCTATTAAAAATATTCAATTATTTATTATACTGCTTTTCTTTGTAATTTCAAAAGAATTCTGAAATGTTTATAGATAGATTAAAAAAAGAGATAATAAAAACCTCATATTTCTACACGAATTGTCAAAAAGAATTTAAGAGTATCGGAAATTGAAACTATTTTATTTATTTTCTTATGTCTTCTTTTTTTGGGTTTATTAAATGTGTGCTGAAGAGTTTCTGTATTTTTTTTCATCTTCATATCATTTCTCTACAACAATGTTAAGCTCATTACAAATTCATTCATTTGGCGTATTATGCTGTGCTTGCAGAGTCAATCAATCCTCATGTTACATTTATTTCCATATATAGTTTTCCTTTTTTTTTACATGTTTTTTTTATCTAATAATATTATCCTGACGTGTTTTTACTAGTTAAGATAAAATCTACGCTCACATGTCATTTGGGACTCTTAAACGATTCGTCTTCGAAATCACAGTTTCCAACGATAATCAATCTTAACGAAAAGTATGCATTTTTTTTGTATAATGAAAGATTTCAGTCCCATAAAGCGACCTAAACTAAAGTTTAACTTACGATAGGGGTTTTTAGCCGTAACCTGAGAATCTTTTTAGACAATGTCCTTACAAAAAAACATAGAACTTGGGGTTGTTTCAAAAGAAAATTAACATTAGTGAACAACTTTCCGACACAAAAATTACGGTTTTTGTGAGTTACTTTGCACCCAGATTTTAAAAATCAGACGAATAAGAATATCTTATTCTTTCAAGACAATTCTACTTTTCTGAGTTCAAAAACAAAAAATAAAAAGGTCTCAAAAGATTACATTTTATGTCTTGAATCGTTTGAGACAAGTAACTATCTTGTTGTGAATGGCACGTCTTATTAAAATAAGATAACACTGTTACTTTCGACATATTTCATCATATTTTATTCATTATATAAAACGACGTTTCTTTGTATGTAAAAATTCCGAATCTGTATAGAAAAGCTTTTATGTTCCGTACTAACATTAGATAAAAAGACTCTGAATTTAAGGTACTATTACATAAGTTCTAATTTCTTGCGAAAGTTGCCCTCACAATGAAATACACATTAGGAACAACTTTTGCACAGAAGTGAGTGCACTTTTCAACTGTACAACAAAAGTTTTCTTCTTAATTCACATTCGCACTCACTCAGCATGTAGTGCTCGGTGAAGTTCTCTGTTTTTTTTCTGATTCTTACGTTTTCAGGGAAACACAGGCATGAAAAATTCAATGTTTCCAAAAATTCACACCTTGTATATTGACATACTTTTTTAAATTAGAGAAAAATACATAGATTACAATGAAGCTTCTTCGCAAATGGTGCAGTACGCAATGAAAAAAAACAACCATAAACTGAGAAAAATCGAAAAATCGTATCTTTCAACTAGACAATGGCAACGACGTTTGAAAACAAAAATACGAAGTGCCGCGTAAAAGGTATTGCCATTATTGAAATATTTGATCTCGCACTATCTTTCTATGCATTTATCTCAAATTTCATATTTTTACGAAAATCTACTTTTTGTTTAAGGAAATTGAGTAAAGTAACACGTGAAGATATGTTGATAAAAATGATTCGACTGCCTTTAATTGTGTTCATTTTGTAACATACGAACTATCAATCAATATCGGGTATACTCAATTAACCTCATTATGAAGAAAGTGTGTCATTATAGAAGAAACACTGAATTAGATATTTATTTCTGTTCATATGGAGTTTTATGTTAAAATATAATATCGACATGTTGTTTCCTTACCTACTTAAGCTATAAAAAATGTTTAATCAAAAAGAATGGAAAAATATTTGAGAAAAGCTTTTAAAAAGTTTTTGATAATAATGTACTCTCTTAACGAATGTATTTTCACTGCAAAAGTAGAAAAACGTCTTTGAGAAATTTCTATTATTTTAAATAAAATGGGAAGTAACAAGAACATGTAGGTGTTTTATATTGACTAAATGCAAAAAAAAACATCAAAGCATGTTAGTAAGGGATTAGTCTAGCAATTTTTGTAGAGCTTTCCGCAATGCATCTTTTGAAACAAAAATATCACCATTTGTATGAATTATTCATTATTAAATATATACCAAATATGATGTGTTGTAATAATTTTAAGACATCCGATTTATAATTAAAACTTCTTTATGATAGCAAGCTATAAATATTCACTTTCCAATCAACTCTGCTGATGTAGATAGAATAATAAACAAGATCTCCATCGTATTACATGTACCTGTGTTTTTAATGAAAGGATGAAAGATTTAAAGATCAATTTATATTTCGCCACTTGTCTGTAGTCGCTAATGTAACTTACAACTGTCTTACAACTCATGATTAAAAGAAGTTAGAAAATCACATGAACGATTAATAATATCGAGTGATATACAATATGAGAAAATAATTGTACGATTGAAACAGAGGAAAGAACTAGTCTTTATTCTTTAAGAATTCATCGAATAAAGACATTCAGACACTAATTATGAATACTTTCCATTTTCTTCATACAAATTTTGGGAAAAATTTGAAGCTCAGTTTATTTTACGCAACATTTTTTTAAATAGACAATCAATTGAATATAAATCATTTGAATATGAGTTTTGTGTTAAAATCATTAATTATTATGCTACATAGTTATACTACTGCTTTTTGGTCATTGAAATTCGACGCTTCTAAAAACCAAAAAAATTGCAATAGATTCTATTTTTATTTGTTGTTTATGAAATGTGTTCTTGTTTTTTTATATTCATTTAGTTATTTAATGAACTCTTATGCAATAAAAGAGACTGTATATACAGGGTCGTCCATAAGTCATTCGACACTCTTGTATTGCGAATAACTTTTGATAAAAACAAGATATAGACCAGCGGTTTTCATCATTTGAAAGAGCGATATTCGAACCATTCATCCATATAATATTCACTAAGACGAAAGATGCTTTTTCATAGGAACTTTTCAATTGACATTCTTTTTTTGTGTTTTCTCATAGATATCAAACAAGTATGAGAAACATGAAACGAAAATATACGAATAACGGTTAATATGTTCCATCACAAGTGGATGAGAATCACTTTTTAATTGTGAGAAAAATAAAACAAGAGTTAAAGAAACAGATAATAGGGTAGAATTTAATAGTTCTGAGAATAAATGATCCAGATCCTGTAGAACTGAGACATTTTTTCCTCATAAATGGAAAGCTGATATTCAAGTGTTTTATAAGTTAAAGTCAGGGAGATCAATCTACCAATGCATCATTGTTAAGCTATGCAAGTTTCTCATGATACGGCAAGATTTCTCTTATCTTAGCTATTCGATGGCGCACATCTAGTGGTAGTTCTGTCACAAAAAGATTTAAGCTCAATTCGAAAATTTGTTTCTCAATTTCATAAAGAAGATTGCAGAATCTTGGCAATCGAAAGAATTCACTGAAGTTAAGTTGTCTGAACTCTGCAAGAAATTTATGAACTTAAGCAATTTCATAAAAAAGAAGGATAAGATTTGGAAGAACTTTAAAGAGTACAAACTATGATAGGGTTCAAATGAAATCAAGAACTTGAAAAATTTTCGAAAATCAAAGAAAGTTAGAGTTCCAGAAACATGAGATATGTCTTTCGAACAGGGAGCCTTAGGTGTATAGATGAAGATGAAGAGAAGTGTCTTAAACACATTCGCAATGGAATAAAAGAAAGAATTGCTGATAGGTGAGAAAACATCTTATTCTAAGCCGTGTGGGAACAGACTTAGAATCAATATGCTCGATAACTAAATATTTAACGAAGGAAGAAGATGATTGGTTGTGTAAAATCCTGTATTCTACGCTATCCATATCGAATCTTCAATTACATGTATTTCTTGATATGCTTGATTTATTTGAGTATTGTATCGATGTTAAATGAATCACTACTAAAGACTTTTTAGAGAACACACATCAATATGTTTCCACACACGTTGAGTAATTTCAGTTGATTTATATCTAGTAAGTAATATAAATAAAAGCTACATAACAATCAGAATTTTCTTTTGAGCAATCTTAACGATTTTTCAAAATGAGCAATTTATTAATTTTCGATTAATCTTATGTTGCTTAACAATGACATGTTTACTCTTTGCTGGGAATTAAAAAGAAGCTCTTTGAGATCTTTTTTA